TGTCAGAGAATCCCATATTTAGAGTTCAGTTCCAAAACATCTGGCCTATACTAAATTCATCCACTCCACCATTCCATTTGTGAAGATTAGGATCATCACTGAACGTCCTCAATAGAAATGTAGTCTAGTTAGTTTTTGCAATGCCATACACAAGGGATACCATGTTGTCCACTCCTATGCATACCTGAATACCAAGCTCTTGATCATTTCCTCATGAGAGGAGAAGGCTATATTGCTCCCTGCAAGAGAATGATATGGTGTTCGAGTGTATCTTCTTGGGTAAGGTCAAGGGTCTTAGTTTTATCAGTTTTCAATCATGTCACTTTGTCAAAGATTCATAATTATAATCATTTAAAGAGTTTTTAATTCAATTGATATTCAAAGAACTTCAAGGTTTAAAATTTGATTCAATGCTCAGAATCTTTAAAGTAGCATAAGTTCATTTAAGTATCCTTACAAAAAAAGATGAGAAAGTATAAAAAACAAGTTCAAACAAGATGGTAATGTATGGTGCGATTGTGGTGGAGAACAACCTTCACTTGTTCAGCCAGAATATAATATTTCTCCTAGAATAATGGGATGTCCAATTGGATTAGGGTCTTTACCCTCACTTGCTCCTCATCTCTCGACCATTTCTCGTGTCAGGACTCATTTGTCAAAGAACTTTTCTACCTCTTCCATCAATGGTATGAACTTGTCAGTGTGATAGCCCAATGCCCCTAGAAAAAATTGCAAGCACTATTCGGGTCATAGACATAAGCAGATGGGATAGTCCTCACTTTCAAAGGCCTTTGAGTGAGGTACTGACTCTTGATTAAAGGGAATATCAAGTCGGAAATAGGCACTCGAAAAACTGCAAGGGCCATATTTTTCAAGACAACTTTTGTGGCCAGTCTCAAATTACTTCTCTTTTAACTTCTTTCTCGTCATTTCCAACTTCTTTCTCATTAGTTAGAATCAAATAATTCTCAAGAGTTGAGTCCTTTAACTCTTCCTCATATACCTCGCTTTCCTTGATTTTGCTATTTTTCTTTTTTACGCCTTCTTCTGTATGTACATCATTTGTTCCGACCCCATCTACTTCTTTCTGGGCTGACTCCCAACTGTTTGACCGAAACTGACTGATTGAATCCACCTCTATAACTCTATGAGCCAAAAAATCTTGGACTTGTCGGTTAAAGTTTCCACAATTCTTGATGGAATGTCCTCCGGCGCATGATATTCACAAGAAACTTTCTCATTATACCAACTCGGATAGGGGGCAGCAAAGGCTTAGCCAGACATGGAGTAATTAGTTGGGTTTTGAGCAACTTGGGATATAACTTGTTGTATGAAAATAAAGGAAAATTGAGTATAAGCTCTTTTGACCTCGCTTTCTCATTGCCACAATTATGAATATCTTGAAGATCATGTGACTGATCATTTGAGATGTTCATTTTGAAGTTTCAACTTTTGATTAGCATCTGGAAAAAGAATTGGTTTGCAAATCTCTTTTCATTGAAAAGTTTTGAGCTTCAGGGGAGCTTAGGATTTCCATCTTTAAAACATAACAACCCTTCCGTGATGAGGTTTTGAACTTTAAATATCATAACTGTACAACTTTTCGTAGAGTAGATAAAATCTCCATAATGACAGCCTCATGAATTTTTGACACTTTACCAATCTGGACGCAAATACGTATTAGGTCTTGGAGGAATAGGTGTTAGAAGGCCACTTTCGAAGAGAAAGGGTAACAAATCTGAGTATGAGTCTGGAATCAGAACGAAAGGCATCATCTTTTTTTCTTCCTGTTCTTTTACTTCCTCTATGCTTCTCTTATTTGAGTCAGACTCAACTTTCGTGTTAGACGTTTCACCCTCAATTTTTGCTTTTCCCAACATGATCTCTGGTTTGCATACATTTATTCGGGAATCAAAATTACACAAAAAAATTAAAAGGCTCAAAAAGACTTTTCCTTGTGTACTCTCATCACGGGATTCTTATGATCTTGGTAAGGATCTATTTGATTTCTAAGTTTACTATATGATGGGTTCGACTCTAAAGTAAGAGGTTCTCAAATTGTCTTTGTCAGTGCCCTATTGGGTTGCCAAACCCTCAATCTTAGCCTATCACAAACTTTTGGACCGAGTTCAATTCGTGGGGACACACCTCCTAATGTTCATACGGAGGTGAAAACCATCATGAGGATTATAAGGCGTGAGCCCCAGAAGCAATCTATATCCCATACGGAGGTGAAAACCACATGAGGGAGTAATTTCTCACTCATATTTAAATAGGATAGAGTGAGGTTTTAGCTCATGTTATGTAAATGCAATTATGCAGTGTGTGAGGAAAAGCAAAAACAAAATAATCAACACTAAATAGAAGTCTCAAAAGCTTGAACATTTATTTACTCTGAAAACATTAGCAAACAAATCAATATAACTATTTAGTGGTTAATCAAATTGTAAAAAATATATTCAAACCACACAAGGGATCAAAAATCAAATTAGAGCAAACTTGTAATTTTCATTTGCAAAGACAACTAATTAGTCAACTAATTCTCTGACTCTCTAAAAAATAGATCCCCAGTAGAGTCGCCAAGCTGTCGAAATAGTTTTCCAAAAAGGGAAAAGGGGTCTCGTTTCGAATAATTTAGTGACCTTTTAAGAATAAAACGTGCTTCGAGGAGTCACCACTAATCTTTGGTTAGGATTTGATTGGGTACCCAAAAAGTATTTGTCATTTTAAAAAACATTTATTTTAATTAAAAGAACAAATTCATGGTATGCGTTACCAAAATTTGAGTTCAGGAGTCAGTTACGAATAGGGAAACATTAGCTCCTCACAACGCCCTAAATTAGTACTTAGTCGATTAATTAGTTGTCTTTGCAATGAAATTTAAGAATTCAAGTCTAATTTAGTTTAAGATATCCTACAAATAATATTCTTTGAATTTTTTGATGAAACATAATAATATTTAATTATTTCCTATCGAAAAGAATCGACCACTCATACATTAAAGCAATTAATTCTTACTCCAATCGAAATAAAAATATTAAAATTCCATTCTAAAGTTCATTATTAATTCAAAATAACAACACCCAAAATAATTTTAAGAGAGAAAACGATAATATCTAATTATTTCCAATCGAGAATAAATGACGTTTCATGCCTTAAAAAAATCATTTATTACTCCAATCGAAATAAATAGATATTACTATTCTATCATATAAATCAATATGATTCGAGTGAAAATGATAATATCTAATGATTTCCAATCGAGAACAAATGACCTCTTATACCTTAAAGCATTCATTTATTACTCCAACCGAAATGAAAAGATATTACTATTCTCAATATCGATTTGAATGTTATTATTTTGAAAACCCATTGGAAAACACATGAAAAAATAAAACAAATAAAAGGCCCAAGAAAATACAATTAATTATTTATTTTACCAATATTTAATGAGAATAAGGATGCTCAATTATTTAAATACCTCAAGACGAGACCTTAGATTCGATCTAATAATCTTTTCTCAGTGAATTTAATCAAAAGAACATAATCTTTTTCCCAAACCCCAAATTTTAAAATGGATTCGATTTAATTCGTGACACTAAATGGGATAGACTTTCATTTTAAAATTATCGAAAGTAACTTTCTTATACGTTAAGACAGTCACTTTACGACAATATTAAAATGAACGAATATTGCCCTTAGTCAATTTATTTCGATTCGAGTCAAGAGATGCTTATGGGGTATCATGCAAATTAATTAATGACTAAATTGAACTAACAACGCAAGCAACATGCAAAATTAAAATAAAGCAAAATGAAAATAGGACTAAAATATAAACAATCAAATCACCATGACAAAATTAAAACAAAATAAAGTATAAAAGTGACTAAAATTTGCATATTTAGTATTAAGTGCTAAAATTACAAAGAATAAAAATAAATAAAACATGGGGACTAAATTAAAATAAACTAAAATTGCATGGCTAAATTAAAAAAATAAAAAACATATTCTGGTTCGAAATATAAACGTGCAGAAAATACTGGGCTATTTCTTAAATATTCCACTTTTTTTAGCCTAAATCATGCATTCGAATAAAAAGGGGAAATTACTAAATCAATCAAAACATTTTAAAAAAATAAACATTCACTTCATATGACTAAAATGTAAAAACAGACTAAACATATATGGATTAAAACACAAATAACCCTAAAATATATAACATGCATAAAAGTGAGTAAATTAAAAAATGGTCCTTGTAGGTGACTAACATGAAAAACACACTAAAGTTAGGGGGACAAAACAACAATTATACCAAAACTTTATAACATGCATAAGAAATAGGCAAATTACAAAATCGGTTACTACATATGACCTTTTCACAAACACGCTTAAACTTTGGGGTCCTAAGCGTGATTTCCCCTGAAATTCCCTCTATAAATACAACTTAATCCTTTTTTTTTATTTTAAACTGAGTTTAAAAAAAATTCCAAACTCTTTCTTCTCTCTCATCAGCTCTTCGACCGACCTACTGCCAGCTGCCCTACATACCCCCTGCCGTCGCTTGACCTCTATTTTGGCCGCTTCACACGACGACCAAAACTCTGAAACCTATCCAAAACCTCATAAATGCTCGGATCTAGACCCTAAGCCTAGATCTAGGGCTAAAACACCCTAAAAATACCTCCAAATACCCTAAAGGCCCCTATACTCTTCGACTTTCTCTCACTCCGGCCGCCGCTAAGACGCTCATGACTTAGGTAAACCACTAGACCCCTTTACTATGTATTTTCAGTTACAAGCAATTTTGTTTCCAAAGATTTGGATTTTTTTAATCTTTTTTTTACTTCAAACACCGAAAATAAGTTAAAAAATACCTTTAATGTTTTTTCTGGCTTTTTTGTACTTTTCGAAAATCAAAGGGTGAGAACCCTTTTTACAACCATGTAGCTCGGGTTTTATAACCCCTATTACAAATTTCTTTTTTTTCCAAACAAAATAACATGATTGTTATTTGCGAGTGTTGTGGTTTACTTGCTAACTTGGTTGATCTGACATGGCAGGGGAGTGGTGCGTGGTTGGTGGCAATGACAGTGGCTGGGGATTGGTACAGTAAGGTTGTGGCAGTCTTTGCTGTAGTTGTTGAGCATCGATGGCTGCAGATGATTGAAACCCTAGCTGCTTGGGTTTTCACGCGTGGGCCTGGCTTACAGGCTTTCGGTATAGGCCAGATTATAATTAGGGCAGTTGGTAGTTGGGTCGTGGTGTTGAGTTGTAATCGGATACAGTTTGGGTTTTTAAAGCCTAAAATAATAATAATAATAATATAAAAATTTCAGGACGAAAACATGTGTCGACAATGCTTCTTCTATGAAAGTCAAACTCGATCTCAATCCCCCCTTAGTGTTCCATCACTAAAGTGTGTTATGGGAATTCAAATCAATTGATTCTAAATCATAAATTAAGTTGCATTTAGTTATAATTACATATTTTTGGTAGTTTTGCCTAGGCAAGATTTATTTGGTTTAACTAATGCTGCTGAGGAGAAAGGACTTGTGTGGATTGTGCATGTGCATGTGCATGAATTAACTTAGGATGAACAATTCAATCGTGAAAATATATTTCGCATGGGCCAGTGGAACACATAAGAAAAAGACAGCGGTACATGTGCATGTGCATGAATTAACTTAGGATGAACAATTCAATCGTGAAAATATATTTCGCATGGGCCAGTGGAACACATAAGAAAAAGACAGCGAGGAACAAATTTATCTTGCCAAGGCTAGATTTTTCTTGTAAGTCTGAAGCAGATCTGACGAATTGCTTATGTCATCTGCCAGCTGTGCGACTGACCTCACATACAATCAAGCCCCAAGATTTTGACAATATACAACCGCCTTTCCATTTATAGATTGGACAAATTAAAACGGGTATTTAGGGAATATTTAATTATTCAAAACCCTAGAAAAATTCCTTCAAAAAATACCCAATCACAGCCGCAAAAAAAAGGGACACAAGGAAGAGAGAGGGGCTTACTTGAGGCATGGAGTGAGCAGCTGTAGTGTTTTATCTTCCACCGTTCTCCATCCCGACCGTCCTTGGTGGCCTCCATAGCCAGGCTATAGTAGAGCGACGGTCAGGCCTCGAGAGAGGCTGGCCGCTAGAGTAGGCGTAGTGCTGGTCAGAGATGTCACGATAGAGTCCCTGTTTGGGAGTCGTTCTTCCTTTGTTCTTAATTTATTTTATTTGCTTTGGGATTTGTATTAAACGATGATACCTTTGGATGATGCTTTGGTAATACCATGAATTGCTTTACTTGGTGTTGGTTTTTGTTTTGTCGAGACAATTATTTTATAGTTTATGAATGACATATTATGATTTTGCTTAAGTCTGTTTTGTTCATTGTTTAAATATTTTACCTTGACACTGTAAGATCTTTCGAGAGATTGCCTGAGGCCTAGGTGAAACATGTCTAGACATTGTAAGAGCTTCGAGAGATTGTCGTTTGTCTAGAAATTGATTCTTATATTCAAGAGAATTAAGATAGATCTACATGAACAAGGGAATGTATCCAGGATGGTGATGTTCTAACCTGCCTACCTTAGAGATAAGGTGAGGGTTTCAATCGACTAAAAGGGATAGACATTTGACTATGATAGACAACAATTATAGTTTACGGTGAGAGGTATTGCTACGATAATAGTTTGACAAACTAATGGTTGTAGTTGACGATGAGTAGTATTGACATAACAACCGTCTAAGAATACTCGGTAATCCTATCGGGCAGCCTAAACAGATCATAACACATCCTTCTAGACTTAGAATATTTTCTTGTCATAGCAAAAGACTAAACTGATTGCTCTGTGAAAAGTTTGAATATGTGAGGTTGTTTTGAATATATTTGAATCAACGCTTTTCTTTGTCTTCTCTATTTTTACATTGTTCCTTTTTCATATTTACTTTGCCTCGAACAAACTTTTCTACAACCATACTTCATAATATTTTCTTGCTTTAGTTCATTTAATATACTGCTAATTGTTTTTGTATCTTGACAAGAATTCAGGAAGTAGCTTGTGACACCTAGTTCTAGTTATGGTGAAACATCAAAAGCCCTGCCAATCCCTGAGGAGACGATAACTCACTTACCCTTTATTACTTGATTCGACTGTGTATACTTGCACAAATGTGCTTGCCTTAGCATATACATTTACAAGGGATGAAGTTTTTGGCGCCGTTGTCGGGGATTGGCAACTAACGGCATTTTTTGAGAATTTTTTCCATAACAAATTTTTATTTCTTGTCACATTTTAATTAATTAGCTTAACTTGTTTAATTTTTTATTTTCCTTTGAAGGTTTTATCGTTGCATGACCCTGAGATCTGCTGGTAAACCATTAGAACCATTTGACCCTGAAATTGAACAGTCATTTAGACAAAGGCGACGTAACCAATGAGCCAAAGAGTAAATGAACCAACTACAGTTTCAAGGAAACAACAACATGGGAGATCAGGCAGATCCTGACGTAGCAGCAAATAATTTTCCTAGAGAAGTTGCAAGAACATGAGAAATACGAGACCATTTGAATCCAATTTTTGATGATCTTAATCTAGGCATCATGGCACCTGAAATACAAGAAACCCATTTTGTACTTAAACCGATGATGTTTAATATGCTAAACTCCATCGGTCAATTTGGTAGCTTGCCTAATGAGGATCCTATACATCATGTCCGTTTCTTTCTCGAAGTGTACGATTCATTCAGGTAACAAGGAGAGCATGAAGATGTGCTGAAGCTTAAACTTTTCCCTTATTCCCTACGCGACCGAGTGAGAGCTTAGCTCAGTGGAGTCCCTTCGGGCTCAATGGAATCTTGGGTAGATTTATGTTAAAGCTTCTTACTTCGATACAATCCACCCAATATGAACACACAGATACGCAATGACATTGTAAGTTTTCACCAAGGCAACGATGAATCCATGTACGAATATTGGGACTGATATAAAAGTCTGCTTCGCAAGTGTGTAAACCATGGATTTCATGACTAGACTCAAGTTGTGATGTTTATTAATGGAGTCAACGCACCTACTCAAATGATGTTGGATGCCTCAGCGAATTGTACTTTGCTTGATAAATCACATGAGGAAGCCTTCGGTATTCTCGACAGGATAGCAAATAATGACTATCAATTCCCATCTACAAGGCAGGGAACCCGGTAGAAAAGTATCTGGAGCGTATGAAATTGAGGGTAAGGATTCAGTTTCTGCTAAACTTTCTGTCATAACTAACATGTTGAAAAATTTACAGCATCTTAATGAGGTGAGAGAAGTCAAGGCAAATAGTGTTGCATGCATTTTTTGTCGTGGCAACCACCATGAGAGTGAATGTCCAGAAAACTAGGAGTCCATCAATTTTATGGGCAACTACAACCAAAGTAATAACAACCAAAGCAATAAAACCCATACTCGAATATATACAATCCTAGATGGCGACAACATCCAAATTTTTCATAGGGTGGTCAAGGGACCAACAACAACAATCAGGTAGACAATTATAATAAGCCACAACAGAATAATTCGGAACATCAAAATTTTCAACATCAGAAGATGCCTTGGCAAGATACTAAAGGTACGCAATGACATTGTAAGTTTTCACCAAGGCAACGATGAATCCATGTACGAATATTGGGACTGATATAAAAGTCTGCTTCGCAAGTGTGTAAACCATGGATTTCATGACTAGACTCAAGTTGTGATGTTTATTAATGGAGTCAACGCACCTACTCAAATGATGTTGGATGCCTCAGTGAATTGTACTTTGCTTGATAAATCACATGAGGAAGCCTTCGGTATTCTCGACAGGATAGCAAATAATGACTATCAATTCCCATCTACAAGGCAGGGAACCGGTAGAAAAGTATCTGGAGCATATGAAATTGAGGGTAAGGATTCAGTTTCTGCTAAACTTTCTGTCATAACTAACATGTTGAAAAATTTACAGCATCTTAATGAGGTGAGAGAAGTCAAGGCAAATAGTGTTGCATGCATTTTTTGTCGTGGCAACCACCATGAGAGTGAATGTCCAGAAAACTAGGAGTCCATCAATTTTATGGGCAACTACAACCAAAGTAATAACAACCAAAGCAATAAAACCCATACTCGAATATATACAATCCTAGATGGCGACAACATCCAAATTTTTCATAGGGTGGTCAAGGGACCAACAACAACAATCAGGTAGACAATTATAATAAGCCACAACAGAATAATTCGAAACATCAAAATTTTCAACATCAGAAGATGCCTTGGCAACATACTAAAGGTACAATTTCTTCCTCTAATACTAACTCTAATACTAACTCCTTGGAAGCTTCACTGTAGAAATTTATGGCCTCGATAAAATATTTTATGGCTTCAACAAAATCTTTGATCCATGAACACTCAACAACAATTAAAAACCAAGGTAATTTTTTACAAAGTTAAGCAGCTCTTTTGCAAAGCCATAGTTCATCCTTGAGAGCATTGGAGAACCAAGTGGGTTAAATCACCACGATCTTACATTCTTGCCCACAAAGAAGTCTCCAGAGTGATACCGAGGTCAGTAAACATCATGGAAAGGAGCAGTGTGGTCTACTTACACTGAGGAGTGTTACCCAGATTAATCAGAACGACAAGTTTGGGGGGAAGCAACTGGAACATTCTAGCCAATGCATTACACAACCTGGGGTCAATAGGAAATTGTTGAACTAGAGGAATTGCCTGAGGAGAAGGAAAAGGATGATGGTTCAAAAGTTCATCAAGCAGATAATAGGACTTTTATTGCCAAGGCAAAAGTATCCTCACCACCTATAACAGATGAATTCAGACCTCCACCACCATTTCCTCAACGATTAAAGAAACAAAATGATGAAATCCAGTTCAAAAAATTTGTTGACGTTCTGGATCAGTTGTATATTAATGTTCCTTTATTTGAAACCATCGAGCAAATGCCTTTGTATGCTAAATTTCTAAAAGACATTGTCACAAAAAAGAGAAAAGTAAAAAAATGTTGCCACGGTAAAAGTATTCTGCTCTACAGTAAGCAAACCCCCACCAAAGCAAAAAGATACTGGTAGTTTCGTAATACCATGTTTGATCGGTGACAACTTTGTAGGATGAGCTCTTGTTAACTTAGGGTCAAGCGTAAATTTGATGCCCAAGTCCATATTTTTAAAATTAGAAATATGTAATGCTTGCCCAACCACAATTATTTTACAGTTAGCTGACCGGTCTTACGTTCGTCCTGAGGACAGAATTGAAGATGTCATTGTAAAAGTGGATAAATTCGTATTTCCAGTTGATTCTTGGCCACTGGACTAATCTTAATAGATTACGAGAAGGGATAGTTCACAATGCGGGTAGGAGATCAAAGCGTCACAATTTTATACGTTCAATTTCATGAAATATGTTGATGATTCAGAGGAATGCATTAGAGACATGGAACTAATGGAGGAGTAGAGCGCATAAAGTCTTGGCCAAGATGAATTTTTACATATCAATGAATATGACACTTTGTGCCAAGACTTGATTTTTCTGACGCATGAACACGAAAATTTTGGCCCATGCGAAAAATTGTTAGAAGAGGATTTTGATAATTTGCACCTCGGTAATAATCTTTTAAATAAAGTAATTGACGGATTTTCTAACGATGACACCAATGCAAACTATGAAGATAAATTAGAGGAACAGTCAAGCTTTCTTCACGCCAGACCAGGTATGAAATTCGAACCATTAGATTTCAATGAATTTAGTCCCCCAAAATCATCATTACAACATGCACCCATATTGGAACTCAAAACTTTGCCATCATATTTGAAATATTCTTATTTAGGTAGTAATAAGACTTACCGGTGATAATTTATGCTAGTCTAACCTCCGAACAAGAGAACATTTTGTTAAATGTTTTATCACAGCACAAAAAAAGCTCTCGAGTGGACAATGACAGATTTGAAGGTAATCAACCCTACCATATGCATGCACAAGATCAACTTAGAAGATAGTCATAGCAATTATGTGGAACCACAAAGAAGACTCAACCCGATCATAAAGAAAGCAGTAATGAAGGAAATCATAAAATGGCTAGAAGCCAGAGTAATTTATCCAATATCCGATAGCTCATGGGTAAGTCCGGTGCAGTGCAGTGCCAAAGAAGGGTGGTGTGACTATGGTTAAGAATAAAAATGATGAGCTTTTAACTACAATAATAGTCATAGACTGGTGAATATGTATGGACTACAGGAAGCTAAATAAAGAAACAAAGAAAAATTAATTTCCACTCCCTTTCATTGATCAAATACTTGATAGGTTAGCATGAAAAGCATTTTACTGCTTCCTTGATGGATATTCTGGATACAATCAGATAGCCATAGCACTGGAAGATCAAGAGAAGACTATTTTCACATGCATGTATGGTACCTATGTGTTTAGAATAATGTCGTTTGGACTATGTAATGCTCCAGCAACCTTTCAGAGTTGTATGATGGCAATCTTTTTAGATATGGTGGAAGATTGTATGGAAATATTTAAGGAAGACTTCTCCGTCTCGGGCAATGACTTCAACCGATGCATTGACAACTTATCTAAAGTACTGAAGTGATGTGAAGAAGCCATCCTAGTGCTAAACTGGGAGAAATACCATTTGAGCTTATATACGATGCAGTGACAACGAAAAAGAACTTCTTTCATGTTATCTACTATGTTAGTCGTACCCTTAATGATGCACAGATGAACTATACCACAACTGAAAAAGAACTTCTTGCAGTAGTATTTGCTTTCGATAAGTTTAGGCCATATCTCATAGGAACTAAAGTTATTATCCATACTGATCACTCTGCCATTAAATATTTTAATTAATAAAAAAGATGAAAAGCCTAGGCTCATCAGATAGATATTACTACTACAAGAGTTCAATTTAGAGGTAAATGATAGAAAGGGTAGTGAAAACCAAGTAGCAGATCACTTGACTAGGTTAGAAAACAAAATCATTTGTCATGACATGAAGGACATCCAGGAGGATTTCCCTAATGAGAAAATTTTATTTGTTACAGTTGCGCCATGGTACGCTGACATAGTAAACTTTCTTGTTAGTGATATTATATCTCCAGATTTATTTACCTAAAACCGAAAAAAATTCAGACATGATGTGCGACAGTATTACTGGGATGAACCATTCCTATTCAAACAATGTGGCAACTAAATAATCAGGAGATGTGTCCCAGAAGAAGAAAAGAAAGAAATTATGCTTCATTGCCAATCATCCCCGTACGGAGGACATTTCAGTGGAACGAGGACAACATCGAAGGTTATTCAATCCAGTTTCTATTGTTCCACTTTGTTTAAAGATGCACACGAATTCTATAAGTCAAGTGATAGATACCAGCGCACGGGGAACATATCCGAGAGACATAAATTGCCCTGGCAAAACATTTTGGAGGTTGAACTTTTTAATGTGTGGGGGATAGACTTTATGAGACCATTTCCTTCATCCTTTGGCGACCTATACATTCTATTGGAAGTGAACTATGTATCCAAGTGGATAGAAGCCATAGAGACACCTAAGAATGATTCTAAGATCGGGCTAAAATTCTTGCACAAGAATATATTTACACAATTTGGAACACCGAGAGCTATTATCAGCGACGAAGGCACACACTTTGACAAAATATTAATTGCCAAGGCATTGAAAAGATACAGAGTGCGTCATCGAATTGCCATGACATATCATCCCCAGACTAATGGGCAGGCTGAAGTTTCTAACCGTGAAATCAAACATATCCTTGAGAAAGTGGTTAACCTAAACCGCAAGGATTGGTCGCCAAAACTAGATGAAGCACTATAGGCTTACCGTACATCATTCAAGACACCGTTAGGAATTTCCCCATTCAATCTAGTCTATGGCAAGGAGTGCCATTTGCCTGTGTAACTTGAACATAAAGCATATTGGGCCATTAAGAATTTGAACTTGAATACTCAACTGGATGGAGAAAGAAGACTTCTGGAATTGAATAAAATGGATATGTTTAGAGCTCAAGCTTACGAAAATGCCCACCTATACAAAGAAAAAACTGAAAAGATGGCATGATAGAAATATTTTTCCAAGGCAATTTTATTCTAGACAACAAGTGTTGATCTACAATTTACGACTCAAATTATTTCCAGGCAAGCTAAAATCTAGATGGTCAGGATCGTTCATCGTACACCAAGCCCATTGCAACGGAGTAATAGAAATCAAGAACCAAGATGATGGATCCATATTTAACGTGAATGGCCAGAGACTAAAGGAATACAAAGGAGCACCAGTCATGTACGATAAACCGGCATCGAACACACGATGCCCAAGAAATTGCTTTACTTACCTGAACAATTTTGGTTGCCTAGGCAACAAAAATCTGAATTCTGTACATAAATAAATTAAGTTATTTTATTATGCATGAGTTACTTAATTTTATTCTATTTTTTTTCTTTGTGGCATGCAAGGTACACATGGCATAATGGGGTTGACGATCACGAATGGGAGGAAGAGAAACCCTCAGTTAAGTAGTTTTGGTGATAATTGTGAAAAGGGAAAGATATATTTTCCCTACTTTATGTCAAATCAAATATTGTGTAATTAATATCATATCTTTTTCCCTTCTCATTTTGACCGTTTTGCCCCAAATAAAACACCCATTACCTTCCCCAAAAAAACTAACCATCACTTATTCTTCCTTATCGTTCCCATAGTTTCTCTTCCTTCAAGTTTTTTTCTTTAATTTTTTCTTCCACACTACCGCCACAATATAAATTTACAACAAAAATCATGGCTAGATCCAAGAAAAATCCAGCCCATCCTCATCATTTGAGTGTTTTCAAACTGCTGAAGCTGAAGCAAGGTTTAAAATCTCCAAAAGCGACAAGTCTATTTGGAGGACGACTTCGCTTTCCAGCAGAAAGTGACAAGCCATTCGGACCAGAGGTAGTGGACGTAATAAGAAAAATAAGAGGGAAACATTTTCTCGGCATCCTAAGACAGTGGCACCGGCGATGGTCCGTGAATTTTATGCCCATCTCGGAGACCCATCTCAATATAAAGTCTATGTGAGAAGGAAATTCTTTCGGTTTTCCCCATCAGGCCTCAACCGCTATTTTAAGCTCGGTCAGGTGGAAGATCACCACAAGAAATTCCTGGCTGAGGCAAATCAAGAAACCTACGATGGAATCCTGGAAGAACTCTGCTTCGGACGGACCAAGTTTGAAGGAAACACGCCAACACGTAAGTGGGTAGATCCCTGAGCCCTTAAGCCAATTGTAAAGTTTTGGAATCACTTCTTAAAGGGTAAATTGATGCCAACTTCCTACCACCCACACTGAGGACAAGCAATCACCAGCAAGTGCCCCGAGCACAAAGTGTCACATTAAGCGAACAACAGGATATGTCACTCAGCCATCTCCCTCTTTGATTTCATCAGAAGCTACATGATCCGAGAGCCCCTTCATCCAAAGCAACGCCAAACATACGCGTCCAGTCAAGCAGACCCACCATAGTAAGTTCAAAATTTTTTCCTTCTGTATTTGCAATTAGTTTCATTAAGTTTATTTTATTTTTCCTACATTGATGACAATGCATCCCTCAAGTTTGGGGGAGGTGTTGCATCTCACAATTAGTTAATAGGTTGATGATAATTGGTTGAAAATTTTGGTTGTCATGGTATGAGTACGTTGAGTCTATTGTATGGAATAAATTAAGGATATCCGATGATGAAAGCATAATTTGATTGCCTAGGCCATAATTATTTTACAAGACAACTAAAAGGATAGAACCGACCTTAGCCGTGATTCTTTGAAAACTTGTAAACACGATTGTATGATGTCTCTACTTAATGTGCTTAGTAAATTTTTAGGAAAGAATTTTCTGCATGCCACGACATCGAAAGAATTGTAAAGCTTTAGTGGAACTTCTTAGTGCTTAAATTTTGTGGAATAAAAAAGGGACACTCCTCTATGTAATGGCATAGTCAGGAAACTCCATAAAATAAAAGGTCACCTAGGCATATGAGTGAATGAAAGTAGTCACAGGATGACTCTACCTAACTAACTCTGGGGTAGAAGGTATGCTCCCTTTCACTTAGAGTGTGGGAGGGTAGGTGTGATGAGCTTACTCCCCTTAAAAAAAGGTGAATAAATAGAAGTGGAAAGTGAGCTTGAAAAATAATTTGAAGCCCTGGAAAAATAGAAGTACTTACTTGAAGTTTTCTAATTACATTAATGCATAGACTGATTATAATCACGCACACACGCTAGCAAAGAATCCTGACTCAAGAAGGTACTTGAACTATATGACAGTCTAGCATGGTTAAGCTAAACTTTTTGCTGAGGAATGAAATTTTAAAACCACATGATTATCTTAATATCAATTTGCCATGACAATTTTAATTTTCCTACTAACTATTATCCATTGCTTGAAGACAAGCAATAACTTATGTTTGGGGGTGTGATAACTCCATAAAAAGACTCTATTTTTAGTCTTTTTACTTAAGTTATTACTCGTATAAACAATGTAGTCATAGCATATTAGTTGCATTTAGGTTATAATTGCATGTGGTGGATAAGTTTTGCCTATGCATGATTTATTTGGTTTGACTGCTGCTGAGGAGAAAAGGGCTTGTGTGGATTGTGTGTGCAGGAATTAACTTAGGAGGAACATTTCAGTTGTGACAATATATCTTTCAAGGGCCATTGGAACACAGAAGACAAAGACAGCGAGGAACATATTTATCTTGCAAGTTTAAAGCGGATATGATGAATTACTTATGTCACCTGCCAGTTGTACGATTGACCTCACGTGCAATCAAGCCCAAAGATTCTAACAATATTCAGCCACCTTTCCATTTATAGCTTGGACAAGTTAAAATGGGTATTTAGGAAATATTTAATTATATGAAACCCTAGGAAAATTCCTTCGATAAATACCCAGTCACAACCGCCAAAAACAAGGAGGCACGGAAGAAATGAGAGCTTACCTGAGGCGTGGAGTGAGAAGATGCAGTGTTTTATCATCCACCGTTCTCCAACCTGACCGTCCTTGGTGTCCTCAATAGACAGGCTATAGAAGAACACTGATAAAGACTCGAGAGAGGCTGGCCGCCAGAGCAGGCGCGATGCTGGTTAAAGATGTCACGACAGAGCCCCTTTTTGTGAGTCGTTCTTCCTTTATTCTTAATTTCTTTTATTTTCTTTGGGGTTTATATTAAATGATGATATCATTGGATGACGCTTTGGCAACACCATGAATTGCTTTACTTGGTATTGGTTTTTGTTTTGACGAGACAATTATTTTATAGTTTATGAATGGCGCATTATGATTTTACTTAAGTCTATTTTGTTCATTGTTTAAATATTTTGCCTTGACACTGTAAGAGATTTCGAGAGATTCCTGGGGCCTAGGTGAAACATGTCTAGACATTATAAGAGCTTCGAGAGATTGTCGTTTATCTAGAAATTGATTCTTAGATTTGATAGAATTAAGACAGATCTACGTGAACAAGGGAATAGATCCGGGATGGTGATGTTCTAACATGCCTACCTTAGAGATAAGGAGAGGGTTTCAATCGACTAAAAGAGATAGATGCTTAAGTAGGATAGAGAACGATTATAGTTTACGCTGAGGGGTATTGCTACAACAACAGTTTTGAAAAAACCAAGGGTTGTAGTTGACGCTGAGTAGTATTGATATAACAACCGTCTAAGAATACTCGGTAATCCTGTCGGGCAGCCTAAGCAGATCATAACAAATCCTTCTAGACTTAGAATATTTTCTTATCATAGAAAAAGACTAACATGAGTGCTCTGTGAAAAGTCTGAATATGTGAGGTTGTTTTGAATATATTTGAATCAACACTTTTCTTTGTCTTGTCTATTTTTACATTGTTCCTTTTGCATATTTACTTTGCCTCGAACAAACTTTTCTACAACCATACTTCATAATATTTTCTTGCTTTAGTTTATTTAATCTATTGCTAATTGTTTTTCTATCTTGATAAGAATTCAGGAACTAGCTTGTGACACCTAGTTCTAGTTGTGGTGAAACATCAAAAGCCCTACCAATCCCTGAGGAGACGATAACTCACTTACCCTTTATTACTTAATTCGACTGTGTATACTTGCACATATTTGCTTGCCTTAGCATATACATTTACAAGCGATCAACAATCCAAGTCAAAATCTATTTTTGAAGTGAACGTTACTTGATTTAAGAAAGACAATCTGTCAATCTAGTTTCAATTTTTTTAAAGAAAATAACTTGAAAATAAAAGCGAAATAAAAAGAAGAATAATAATTTTATAAAACTAAGAAAAGGAAAGAAACAAATGAACTAGAAGTGTATCGATGGACAAAATATGATTTTTCAGGCTTACCCCGATGGGGTATTTATAGTTTCTAAAAAAAATTTTCAGAAAATTAATAGTGGTTCTAGCATCATTTTTTCAGGTAATCTTAGCTTCTACCCATTTAAAAACATAATCGATAACTAAAATAATGTTTGTATTTCCAAATGATGAAGTAAACGGACCTATATGGTCGATTCCCCATACATAAAATCTCATAGACATGAATCAGATTTTGAGGTAATTCATTTCTTCGTCTTAAATACCCTGCACGTTGACTCCTTTTACATGATTTACAAAATAAGTAAGTGTCACGGAATAAAGTAGGCCAAAAGAAATCACATTCCAACATTTTATGGGCAATACACTTCGGTCTGAACTGACCACCACATGAATAAGAATGACAAAATTTTAAAATAAAATTTACCTCCTCTTCAATGACGCATCGTCTTATTACCTGATCCGAGTAGTGCTT